TGATAAATACCCATGCTTAGTCCATTTAGATAGCGGGACTCTCATTTGGCAGAAACCCGTTGAACTCAATGAGCGTCGAACCACTGTAGGCTGGCTTGAAATGAAGAACCATGGAAAGTCATTCTTCTGGTCTCCAGTAGAACTCCATGGATAAAATAAATAACTGCCATCTTTAAATAAATGGGTCGAACCCAGAAATGAGGGAACTTTGCTTTGTAGTAAGGAGAAATATAGAACTAATATCAGAGCGTGAAAATTCGTGGCAGCCATCACGGGCGCCTACTACTTCTACTTGGAGTTGTCCCCTCCACATGGTAGGTGTTTTATGTTTTAACAAGTAAATGTAACACCTTGTTATTTTTTTCAGGGAAAGTGGAGCTTCAGTATTTTATCTGGATTTCAAGAAACTTTAGACGGAAGGTAATTGTTGTAGAACTGTGTGTTTGTCATGTTGACATTTTTCCTTTGATTTTAAACCAAATGCCAGAAAAGAATCATAACGAAAAGAGTGTTGAGGTGGGCGATCGAACCGAATTGGTTGGAATCAATTGGTCACTTGGTTATCTGCTGAGATTTTATTTTCTTCCTTAAATAACATGAAGAGCGATTTTAGTCCTTTGTAAGAACTGTAGTGCAAAGTGAGAAGTTTGGTCATGCGCACTAGTATACTCTTTCGGTGAAGCTTAAATAAACAAGACCACTGTTGAAGGTGGTAAGTAGATAAATGCTCGGCGAATAAAAAGTGTCAAGTCGATTTCCACAAGTTTGTCAAAAACAGAAATTTACTTCACTTCGGCACAGTGACGTGACCGGCGGAGTACCTGTTTCCCATTTCCGTGAAATCTCACGAAGTGAGACCGAAAACACCACGGGTTTAACAGGAACCGGAAGTGATAGAAGGAGCGAGCAAAGGAGTGACTTTCATGGTCCGACCAAAATTCAGAAAATGAGGTCATTTCTGAGCCGAACAGGACAAAAAACGGCATTTTACGCCAAAATTGACCGCTAATGTACAAAAACCCGCTCAAAAGTACTACCAACATTGATTTCCGGAGAGAAATAGGACTTAAATTATACCTGAAAGATTAATCTTAGTTTTACTTGAGTGGTTTCGCTATAAATGACCGTCCTATACAGGTGCAAGACGACACAAACAGGCCGTTGGGACTCACTCAAAGGTAACTAGGTTCGCCTAATATGTGTGACCGGTTAAAAGAGGTGATAATTACAATGATTAAGGGGAAACAAATTTGGGACTCTGACAACCGACCGCCTAATACAGGGTAACCGCTTTATACGGTGACACTTAATACTTTTCGACCATTCAAGAGCGAGACTCCAAGTGCACATCTCTTGAGTAGAGAAATTAAAGGCAAGAAAAATCAAACACATCTGACCAACTAATCATATTGGGATTGTTGGAAAGTGTTGTGATTACCTTCGCTCTGTTGTGCGACCCTCACCACACTCTGGTGAAAGTGTTTAAATAAATTAAAAAAATAAAACAATTCTTGAGAGTAAGTGGCAGAATCCGTTATCTTTGCAGCTGTTGTTGCCTTCCTTCTTAACACTGGTCGTGGCTTACAAGCCACGAAGTTAGGCAAAGAATGTTTGATCTTTCTAACCTCTAATGCACCGATAATAGAATACCACTGGTTTTCCAGGAAAATAAATTTGCTAATGTTTCATGCGGCATACAAGGCCTCCAATTACACATCTGCAGAAAGATATGCGAAGGAACTTCTTATCATACATCACGCCTCTGGTGACACACTTACAGAAGGGAGACTAAGCTTGGTACTGAGACAGATATATCACAAACAAAATGAATTTAAAAAGGCTAGAGAATACTATCAAAAGGCAGCTGATATAACAAGAAGTACTGCAGGCAAACAAACAGAGGCACTATGTTACATGATGATAGGAAAATTATTTAATTCACTGTGTGATTATCACAAGGCTGAAGAGTATTACAAGAAAGCACTGACAATCACTGTGTCAAATGGCGACAGAGATAGCGAAGCAACCATTTACGGAAACCTAGGTACAATCTTTCAGTCACTTGGGGAATACGACAGAGCTGAGGAATATTACAAGAAAGCGCTAACAATAAGAAAGAAAATTGGCCACAGAAAGAGAGAAGCAGCTGACTACGGCAACTTAGGAACATTGTTTCACTCCCTTAGTGAATACAGAAAGTCTCAAGAATACACCGAGAAAGCGCCTCTAGTCAGAAAGAAAATTGGTGACAAAGACAGTATTTGCAGAAAATTCAACATTTATTTCTTGCTCTTTTCCAACTGTGCGTCGTGGTTTTCCAACCATTTTGCACATGAACAATGGGACAAATTCCGTATTTGATCTGATCTCGAAGTTAGCTGATTTAAATTTATAGGCATAGCGGGCAGGTTTCTTTACCCTACGAGGCCTAGCAACCTAGTCAAATTCAAGTAGGTCGTGATCGGTCACAAGGCCAGCCAGTAGAGGAGTTAAGGTCGCAGTGTTCATAATGCGGTCAGGTGCATCAGTTATTATTAAATCCAAAATATTCTCCTTGCGGGTCGGAAAAGGGTTCACTTGCAGTAGAGAGTGGTCGAGTAAAGTTTCACAAAAAGC